TCTTGGAGTTTGATAAATGTTTTTATTCATTTTTTCTTTAGTTAATCTTAGTGCAACATATTAGAATATCAAACATGTTGGTGATCAATTCTGCCATCTTCATGCTGTTAGCTGAAATCTTACCCTCTAAACCTTGCTGGTTATCTATGTTTTGTTGCAATAAGACTCTATTAAGTCTATGAAATCCTTTGTCAGGCACTACGCATTATATGCAAGACTTGGCGATGTCCGCCATTAGAGTTCATCTACAGGACTTGGGGATGAGTCATTTTCTCTCCTTTCCCTCAGTCTCCCTCCATTCCCTTCTCATTTGCTTTTATTGTTTTGCTTTTTTCTCTTTTGTTTTGCCCTCTTTTTCTGACTGGATTGCTATTAGTGCAGTCTTTGCCATAGTGACACAATCAGGAGCAGGGTGTGAGCGGTCATGATAAGAGGAGTCACACACAATCACATCCAGATATCCTGGTACCAGACAGGAGATAACCTTTCTGTGTCTGAGCACATGGGCAATCTGTTGGCACACCTCCCAACAGAGACGGAAATCTGGGCCGATCTGAGGGTGCTGAAAGGGGCGCATATGTGGCTGACATCAGAAGAGAGAGCTTGAAAGTAGACCTTGTGTCCTCACTCTTGCCTTCTTTTTCCTTCAAGCCACTCTTTCTGCTTCAGTAATTTATTTACCAAACATGTTGGATTTTATGTTCTTTGGTGGAAATGGCTTCTCTTTCTCTTAAGAAAACTTTGTAGATCTTTACTGGAAAGACAATAACTGCTAAAATCTCAAGGCTCTATTTTTTATCTAATATTTCTATTAATGATTCCCTCATACCTAGTGTCACATCTGTTTACCTAATAATGATGTTAGATGATATTTTACCTTTTGCTCTGACATAACCAACCTTGATGCCTAGATGAATGCATGCACCATAGCAGCAGCTTAGTATGTGGTGGCTATCATTATTAATAATACTTTTCACATCAATAATGTTATATTATTTATAATATAATTATTAGTATGTAATTTTATGTATCATTCAGTCAAATTAGTGCAGTAGGTACAAGCATTAAGTATAATTGTGACATTACATATTCAGTGTTTGAAAAAGCAATTATAAAGCACAGTGTTGTGAGAAATAAAGGATATTGTACAGAAATAAAAGGGTGATGTACAGAAATAAAGGGTAATGTACACATTCTTCATTCTATCCTGTCTTCAACATTTTCAGGACTATTGCATACTTTTATCTTCCCCACCCGGATGGCTTCTGTTTCTTCCCAATTTGTATTCATGACTCTGGTATAATTTCTTTTTAGCCAACATTGCTTGTGGATAAAAATTTGTAAAATTAAATTTGATCATGTCAGTCACCTCATTCAAATCTTTATACAGAAGGTCTCAAACTTTACAGCATAAAGTTATCTGGAGTGAGCATTAGACAGATTCTGACCTATTCCCAGGGACAGATTCAGGCGAGCCGTCGGGCCGGGGAATTGGTGTTTAAGAAGCACCTCTGGTCCTAGCTGGTTTGGCTCAATGGAAAGAGCATTGGCCTGTGGACCAAAGGGTGCTGGGTTCGATTTCAGTCAAGGGCATGTACCTTGGTTGCAGGCTCCTCCCTGGCCTTGGCCCTGGTTGGGGGTCATGCAGGAGGCAACCAATTAATGTGTTTCACATCGATGTTTCTTTCCATCTTTCCTCTCTTTCACTTTCCCTAAAAATCAGTGGAAAAATATCCTCAGATAAGGATTAAAAAAAAAAAAAAAAAGAATGAAAGAATAGAAAAAAAGCACCTCTGATGATTCTGAGAAGCACTGTGTTAGTGACCCAAGCTCGCAGGACACAGTCCTGACTCCGTGTGGACAGACCTTCATGCTCTCCAGGAGCACCCGAGTATCCGAGTATCCGTTGCATTCTTCATCACAGCTGGCCTCCTGTGGTTTCATTACCATCCACCCTGTGATGTTTCCTGCCTTTATCTTTTTTCACATCTTGCTAACTTTCTGCCGGAACTGCCCTTCCATTGCTCCAGTTCCCCTTCTCTGAGGATCTCTCTGGGCACCCAAATTGAAGTTGCACTTTCTAGTTGTGTCCCTTATCTTGCAGTCCCCTTTATTGATACCACTATTCTCATCACATTGTAATAACGTCATCGCGTGTCACTGTTTAACTGTCAGTTCTGAGTTCCACTACTAGAAAAGCCTTCTTGTTTATCTTTGTATCTCTAGTGTCTTGCAGAAACATAAGTGAATGTGTTATGAGTGAATTCAATACAGTAAGAGGCGTGCAGGAGGCAGCCAATCGATGCTTCTCTCTCCTCGATGTTTCTCTCTCCCCCTCTCCTTTTTTCTTTCTCAAATCAGTAAAAACATATTTTCTTTTAAAAAAAGAGTTAAAGGGAGAGGAATCATAGTTTGGTGCTAGAACCTGTTTGTTAAAGATGGAAAGTATTTGGGCCTTGAATGCTTTGCTGAAGGATTTAACATTTTATACTTAGAGCTTTTCTTTCTAATTATGAAAATAGTATATATTGATTATGTGTAATAAATATGAAGCAAATGAAAATCTTTTATAATTTCAATACAAAATGTAATTAATATTAACATTTTCATCTACTTCCAGTGTTTTTCACCTTGTTTTATATATGTATTTACATAGGAAATAAATGAAATCAGAACCACTGTGTGTGTGTGTGTGTGTGTGTGTGTGTGTATGGTGTGTTTGTGTATGCACACATATCTGTAATTTTTATCTCACTTAAAATTGGAATATTGCCATTTTGCCATGTAGTCAAATGTGCCCAGAAAGCATGATTTGTAGTGATTGCAATATTTACTCTATTATATGGTTATTCTTAAATTATTTACCTGTTTTCTTATTGTTAGATTACATAAGTTATTTTCAATTTAAAGTAATGACTACTGTTTCACTGAACATCTTTGTACATAAATCCTGTCTGCATTTCTGATTACTTAGAATGGTGTTCTGGAAATAAATATTCTGGATCAATCAAACAGTCTTAAGGATTCAGAATGTATTTTGTCAAATTACTTTGCCAAAAAGCTGCAATTTAAAGTCATACCTACAGTGTGTGGCTTTAACTTTCATTGTACTCTGGCTCAGTATTTTTTAGTGTATAATGTTTGCTAATTTTGTAAATGGTATTTTGTGGTTATTTTACTTATTTATTTATTTATTTTTTAAAATATATTTTATTGATTTTTTACAGAGAGGAAGAGAGAGGGATAGAGTCAGAAACTTCGATGAGAGAGAGAGTCCAATTAGCTGCCTCCTGCACACCCCCCACTGGGGATGTGCCCACAACCAAGGTACTTGCCCTTGACCGGAATTGAACCCGGGACCCTTCAGTCCGCAGGCCGATGCTCTATCCACTGAGCCAAACTGGTCTCGGCTCTTGTGGTTATTTTAATTGTTATTTCTTGACAACTAGATTAAGCAGGTTTTTCCTTACATTTATAGACTATCTATGTTTCTTTCTTTCTTTTTATTTTATTTTAAATATATTTTATTGATTTTACACAGAGAGGAATTGAGAGGGACAGAGAGTTAGAAACATCGATGAGAGAGAATCATCGATCAGCTGCCTCTTGCACACCCCCTACTGGGGATGTGCCCGCAACCAAGGTACATGCCCTTGACCGGAATCGAACCCGGGACCTTTCAGTCCGCAGGCCGACGCTCTATCCACTGAGCCAAACCGGTCCCGGCCTCTATGTTTCTTTTATTGGGAATTGTCCTAGATCTTTATGGTATTTTTCCCTTTTAATTTTTTCTTTTGATTTTAATTGTTATATGGATTACATTTTATTCCAATTTCTTACTTGCTTTTCAGTACTTTTATAGTGTGAATTTTAAATTTAACTATGTTTGGAAAGTTTGTTCTCACAGATATAGCCACCTATATTTTGATTTAGTTTTTAATGCTTTTGTACTTTCTTTTTCTTTCAATAACCCATGATAAAGGCAATTCTTTGGCAGAAAACTGACAAAATTAGATGTATGCTTCAGAAAGAAGTCTGTGGCTCTGTGGACAATGGGTTGGAGTAGGGAGAGGTTAGGGTAGGGATAATGGGACCTGTTTAGGGGGAAGATGAGTTGTCTGAATGCAGTGATAGTGACAGAGAGGATAAAATAGAACATGGGCAGGTTTTGTGGGAGTGGAGATTAGGACATGTGGAACATGAGGTACTGTGAGGCATCCAAGTCCAAGTGTTAGAAATACAGGATTGAGCCTTCTTCAGGAGACTGGTCTGCCTGCTGATGAAATTAGGGAGCTGCCTTCACGTAGGTGGTGGTTTAATGTGGGAAAATTTAGTTTCAGGAAAGCTGACGGAGAAGGGTGGTCAAAACTCGAAGGCTCACCAGGAAGGTGTTCTCTGGGAAGCTGGTCTTTCTTTTACCACAAACAATGTCAGACACTGCAAAGAGCCATTTAGAAGAGGCAGCATGGTCAGAGGATAACACTGTTTTATAGAATCTAAGTAGACTTGAACATGTTCTCTGTTGAGGGAAAGGAACCTGTGAACAGGGAGAGATGGACGGTGAAGTAGGAAAAAGGGGGATTTGGTGGTGCAGCAACTTAAAAGCATGAGAAGCTTTGATAAATGCATTATTCTCAGCTGGAACCAGAGTTCATTCTCAGGAACAGAATTTACATGAGTTATTGAAACAAAGTTTAATTTGTTCTATGAGTAAAAAGACTCCTGGCTTTAATAATAAACTTTTATTTCCTTTTTTTTTTTTTCTTAAAAATGAATTGACAATTTTATAATTGTTTCAGCATAAAGTTCTGATCACACCAGTTCATATTCTGTACATGTTTCTGATTGGCCAAGTTAGTGAGTGACTCTTAATGGTACAGATACTTAAAAACACAGCTTACTAAGTGTTTAAATGCCTTTGACTATTTAGTGTTTCATTAATGAATATATGAAATTAAACACTTTTAATTATAACCATCTTTTAAAAATATTTATTGCAGGGAAATTTACCTAAATATTCTCACAACTCCCTGATGGTCCAGGCAATAAAGACAAACCTAACAGACCCGGATATACATGTGCTATTCTTTGATGTCGAAGCGTTGATTATTCAACTCCTGACTGAGGAAGCCTCTAGGCCGAACACCACGCTTATTTCCCCGGAGAATCTGCAGAAAGCATCTGGCAGGGCAGACAAAGGGGGCTCTTTTCTAACTGGAAAGCGAGCAGCGGTTCTCTTCCAACAAGTGAAAGAAACGATCAAAGAGAACATAAAGGAGCACCTCCTCGACGAGGAAGAGGAGGACGAGGAGACCTTGAGGCAGAGAAGGGAGGAGAGCGATCCTGAATATCGGGCCAGCAAATCGAAGCCACTGACCCTGTTAGAATATAACTTGACTATGGACACTGCCAAGTTGTTCATGTCCTGCCTTCATGCCTGGGGCTTGAATGAAGTTCTGGATGAAGTTTGTCTCGATCGCCTTGGCATGCTGAAACCCCACTGCCCGGTGTCGTTCGGTCTCTTATCGAGAGGAGGTCATATGTCCCTGATGCTTCCTGGTTATAACCGGGCTGCCTGTACAATGGCACACGTAAACGCAGAAGAAGAGAGCAAGCTCCCAGTAACGGAGGGAGTAGGGAAGGGCACGTACGGAGTGTCTCGAGCCGTCACCACACAGCATCTCCTGTCGGTCATCTCTTTGGCAAATACCTTGATGAGTATGACCAATGCTACTTTCATAGGTGACCATATGAAGAAGGGCCCTACCAGGTGTGATCTCATTCTTTTATTTCAAGAAAAAGAAACTGTTTTATGTTTATCACTGTTTATAATATTTTTTGTTTTGTTTTTGTTTTTGTTATTCTACCCACTGTAGCATTTTTGGGGCATCTCAGTGTTTCCCGCCTTTTAATTCTCATGACAAAACATGACAAAATTATATAGTTTCATCTATACTCAGACATACTGTCTAGCTATTTTTGAGAAATTTGCAGAGAGGGAGTAGATTACATTTCAGCTTTAATAAACCAATTATAGAGTAGCATTTCAGCAAATATAATCTTAGAATTATAACCAACTAACATTTATACCAACACTTGATTCAAAATGTATGCTTAGTTAAATGCTTCTCTACATTGTGACGCATATGTAAGGAATATGTGTTGAGTGATTGTTTTAAGAATATCTGATAAGTATAGTCAGAATACTTAACCTGAATTACTATTTCCTGTTTTCTAGAAGTCATGAAGGCTACTTTGTGAACTGCAGTTTTATTATACGTAAGGGCAGGGGTCGGCAAACCTCGGTTCGCGAGCCCCATGTGGCTCTTTGGTCCCTGAGTGTGGCTCTTCCACAAAATACCACAGCCTGGGCGAGTCTATTTTGAAGAAGTGGCGTTATAAGTTTAAGTTTAAAAAATTTGTCTCTCTAAAGAAATTTCAGTCGTTGTACTGTTGATATTTGGCTCTGTTGACTAATGAGTTTGCCGACCACTGCTTAAGGGCAAGTTGACCATGTTCAGATTTTTTTTTTTTTTTTAAATCTAACAAACACTTAAATAGCACTTGCGTTGTGTCTGGCTCTGTTGTAAGCACTTTACAGATACCTTCCCAATAAGACTCTTAACCCTATAAGTTAGGTACTTTTACTATATTTTATTATAAATAAGAAAACTGAGACACAGAGAGGTTAAGGAACTTGTCCAAGGTCACACAGGCTTTAAGTGGTAGAGCCAGAATTCAAGATGAGATAGTTTGCCTTCAGTGTCCAAGATTTCTTAATGCCTTATTACTTTTTTCAGATTTTTAAGGCTGAATTCTTTTAAACTCAATGTATTGTTCCGTGAACTTATTAGACCAATGATATGGCGTGAACTGTAATCTCAGCATGCTAATAGTAAACAGTGAAGAACTAATTGTGATATTTAGGTCACCAACAGTATGTTGAATGTTCATAAATATTTTGTAAACTAGAGTCACTGATAATATCTTGAAGTGTTCATAAATATTTTTAAGCTAGACTAAAGCGTAAGTTGTAGATGTGAAATTCTTACTTGCTATATGCTAATTATTTAATTTACTGTGTTAAAATTTGGAATGAAAAATATTAATAGGTACAAAACAAGCAAAAAATCCCCATCTTCTTGAGACAGTAAATTGAAAATGTTTATTTGTGTTTCTTTTGTAATTAACTTATAATTAGAAAGTGTAATAGTTTAAATCATTCTGGAAATATAAAAATATATATATTCATTTTTTCTTCTTTAAAATTTTTTTTTTTTTTTTTTTTTTTTACTTTTTCTTTTCTTCTTTTTTTAAAGGCCACCTAGACCAAGCACCCCAGACCTTTCTAAGGCACGGGGTTCCCCTCCAACTTCCAGAAATATTGTGCAAGGACAAATTAAACAAGGTAAAATGAAATCTTATTAAGTAATTGACATAGCATCTCAGCTGTAGAAACTGAGGAGGTACAGCTAATGTATAATCATAACATTTTGTTTGTCTCAGATTGTTAAGAGAGAGAAAAGTTGTTATATTCCAGATGTAAATATAGATAATTAAGATGTCAGTTAAAAATAAATCAGATTTATTTAGAAACTGATAAATGAGCATATTTCACATAATTTTATTGTACTGCCTTTGGCCTTATTTTTATGCATTAAGGGAACCTTAACTTGACACATTGGTGCCTTAATTATGTATGTCTTGAGTTTAAAAGTTATACCTGTTGTTTAACTACATTTTAAGAGGTTTAAGTTTATATTTCTATACTCTAGCTATTCTTATGCCATTGGCCAGTAGTTCATGCATTGCAATCCACAAGTGGGAATCCTTTCTTTTTATTTAAATAATTAGATTTTAACTTTTGTCTGTAGCTTTTTCATTAGGTGATAGAAGAAGAAAGGTTGTATATCTTGTATATCTTTTATACTCGTTTTAAGGCTGACAGGTGAGCTCAGCAGAGAGTTGGAGGTGGGGCAAGGTCACTTCCACTTTGTGAGTGTTCCTTCCCGCTGAGAGTCAAGATTCACAGGATGTGGTAGAAGTAAGAGAGGATGATGAAGTTCTGCTTGTAAATGATGACATTTTAGTCTTCTTTTTTTTCCTTTAAATTTAAAATTATTCAGTTTTAAACCTCTTTAGGTTTTAAAGAGTCAGTGATTTGCTAGGTAAACAGCAGGTCTCCAACTTTATATCTACAATTTTGCCCTTCCCTGGGACAAGGACTTTTCTCTCTCTTAGCTCATGATTTGGCATGTATTTTAGTGCCTTACGTGGGATGATTTTAGTTTTGGGTATTGTCTGTTGGTTTCTCATTATGGAAGACCAGTTCTCACAGTCTCTGCACCACTCCCATCCTTCATTCCAACTCCACGTGGTCGGTCACCCCTCTTGTTTATCAGTTTTCGCATTAAGCTTATATGTTTTTTATAGTTTATATTAGATTATATAAAAGTTCATAGTTTTGGTTATGTAACCTTTTATACTTGCATGCTATATGTGAAATGTAATGTACATCTAGAAAAGTGCATGAAACAGATCTGTAGTTCAGTGACTTGTACACACTAAACACCTTCGTAACCATAGCTTTGGGCAGGAAACAGCAGGGCCAGTGTTCCGGGAGCCGCCTGCAGGTTCCCTCCCAACCAGGCCTTCTCCTGCCAGAGGCAGCCATCCTGACTTTCAAAAAATCACTCTCTTTCTTTCCCTTGAAGTTGCACCCCCTAAGTTTAAATCCATAAACCCTGTAGTTTAGTTTTGCGCATGTTTTGAATTTTATATGAATTCAGTCGGTCATGGAGGATGTATTCTTTTATATTTGGCTTCTTTTGTGAGATCTATCAATATTGTTGCATTAGACTGTGGCTTGTTCACTTTCACTGTTCATTTTTATTGCTGTATAGTGTTCTGTTGAATGAATAGACCACAGTTTATTCATCCATTCATCCTGTCAATAGACACTTGCATTATTTCCAGTGTTTGGTTTTCATAAATAATTCTGCTATAGACATTCTTGTATTTGAATCTTAGTGTACATTATAAGCATTTCTGTTGTGTGTGTAACTCAAAGTGGAATTTCTGCATATATTTATCTTCAGCTTTAGCAGCTAATGTCAGCGGTTTTCCTAAGTGAGAGATGAATATACATCCATCAAAATGGCTAACGTGAAAGAGATGGAAAACGTTGTTGTGCTTTTATGACTTATTGGATGCGATTGGAGTGGTGCTGTGTGTCTAAAGCTAGCTTTTTCCCATCACCAGCGCAAGCCCCTCCTGAGTACTTTATCTAGTGCTCGCGGATTAGGAATTTTCCAGTCAGGCTGCTAGGAGCAGGCCCTGTCTCTGGCCCTTTGGGAGGTTCTTTCCCAGCCTCGAGTCATTTCCTAACGCACATGTACTCATCAGTGCTCTGCTGAGTATCTGAGGAACCCCGATCTTCTCAGCTCTCTCTTCTCTGCCCTGTGAATTGTAGCTGCCCAGGACCCTGAGACTCAGCTGACTTCCCAACCCAGGGAAACTGCTGGGCTCTTCCTCAGTTTCCCTCCTTCTCTTCTTGCATCTAGTCCTAGAAACTCCCCAGGGCAGTCAGCTGAGGCATTCATAGGGTAACTGACTTCCTGGTGTCCTGTGGCTTGGAACCATTGCTTTATGTATTTTGCTTTGTTTTTTTTTATGGCTGCAGTCTGGCCGGAAATGGAAGTTCTCCTTTTCACTAAGGTTCCGATTATACTATTACCTTATAAAGTAAAAATTCTTTATTTTGTATAGTTTTCACATTTTTTGGAGCATTATTTCAGAGAGAAATGGAAACAGACCCACGCAGGTATTATCTAAGTACAGATATTGTGATTAGGACACAACCAGCCCCTTTTAGCTCTAGATCTAAATTCATTGACAACATCTTTCAGATCATACAGTACAAAAAGTGGCAGGGCTCCCCTACATTTAGTTAGTTTAAAGCTTCGTTTAAAATCTGTTCTTGTTAGAGATATTACTTGCCATCATCATTGGCTTCATTAATGTTTTTTACTGTTGATGTTTCTTCTTGAGTTGCATTTTTATTCCTCTGTATTATAGCGGATGCAAGCACTTGATTTCTTAAAACAGAAAAGCTGCCGTACCAACTACCAATGTGCTTCTCTTCCTAAGGATTAGTGAAACACCAGGCAAAATTGTTTCAGCACAGCCTGACATGGGGATAGACAGATACCAGGTCTATTGTTCAGTTCTAGACGTAACTTTTTCAGCTGTATTATTTTTCATTAAATCTTGAGCTTTTTATTTTGGAAGTGGTACTTTTTCTTATATCTATTGCTAATATTTTTCTGTATGTGAAAAATATTTTAAGAGCTGCAGGTTTAAAAGCTCCAGCAGCATTTAATTTCAATATTCTCAACTATCATAATTATGAAAGTAGTTTCAGTTATGACATAGATGTAGAATAGCTTTTTCTCTATGCAATGTCTGTATAAACAGGACTCCAGAAATATAATACCTGGAACCTCTTTATTTTTATCATTAAAAATAAAGATACTTATATTGAACACTATTTTATTAAGACACATTATTCTATCATCTTTGTCAGTAGCATTTCTAGTTTCCTTTAGACTTGTGACTTAGAAAAAACATTATAGTTTAATCCCACTATTTGACCCATGTAAGGTAATGATTGTTTAGCCCTAAATTTTTATTTACTTACTAGAGGCCCAGTGCACAGATTCGTGCACCGGTGAGGTCCTTTGACCTGGCCTGCAGGGATCAGGCTAAAACCGGTTCTCTGACATCCCTTAAGGGATCCTGGATTGTGAGAGGGCAGTTCTCGAATGACACACCCAGGAATCGGACTCTTTCCTCTCCGGTTCGGGGTGTGTCACCCAAGAACCACAGCTGCCAAGTCCTTGCAGCTCCTGCATTATTATGTGCCTGTCCCCTAGTGGTCAGTGTGCATCATAGCTACTGGCCGGTTGACTGTCACTTAGGCTTTCTTATATATAGATAGATATTGAATTTCATTACCCTCTTCTAGTGTTTTTTCAGAATTAAGGGTAAAATTAGATAGCATTAATAATCTCTTCTAGGATCGTAATAATCTCCCCCCCCCTTTTTTTTAAAGTGAAATTGCAGAAGTGGCCCTGAAACTACCAGAGGAACTTTCTCAACAATTTTGTTAACATGAAAGCTAAAACCTGAAACTTTACTCTTTGCCACTAAAGCATACCAACTTTTTGCTTGAGGCAGTGAATACTTTATAGGCTCTAATAACTGAATTTATAATTAAAGAGGATCTAAAAAGTGGACAATAAAATTATTTAATGAAATATATAGAAACTTTTGGGATTTCTTTGCAAGATTACTTTGCAATGTTATTATTAGATCTTATGAAATAAACAATTAAAAACAGCCCTATTCCTTTTATAAGCATAGCATTATACACTAATTAAAATTTCCTAAGGACCAAACACAGTCTATTATACTAAAAAATAACTTCCCAGATGAAACATTTTTTCTGTGCAAGATCTGCTTCTTAGGGTTCATGAAGTTGGATTTTTTGGTTTCTTACTCCTATTCATGTACTCCTTTTAGTTCTGTTGTTTCCCTCACACGTGCCTGATTGACATTATGATGCATTGGTGTGGGAATTATGAAAAGTTGTTTTCCTGCAGCTGGCTCATGCTTACAAAAGGACTTCACTGCATGAAAAGCAAACATATCACTCAGCAGACAATGCTTAATCTGTGCAGGAGCCCAAACCTATTGCTGTTCAGGGGCAGAAGAAAGGAGAGGGATTAATTTGAAGATGCTTGTGCATGACATATGGTAATGTCTCCATAGGAAGGAAGTGTCAAATGGTGACCTCTAAATCTCAACATTGACCTCCAGTTGTAGAATGTGTATGCCATACGGTCCTTTTGCCTTTTCATATGATAATTTAAACTGAAACATTTTCCTGGTAGTATACCTTTTAGAAGAGCATTTTATAAAGACTATAACTTTCACAACAATTACTCTTAGAATATAAAGCTTTTGTATCGTAAAAATATTTTTTGAACTCCAAAGAATGAACCTATGTCAGGATTCTCCTAATAACAGTTAAATATGGTATATATTATATATTCTTTGTAAGTTGGCATTTTTCAATGGAGTTTTGATTAAATGAGGGTGGGAAATTGAAATTATTTCAGTGGATATTGGTTTGAGAGATTAGAAAATAATTTATACACAATATTAGAAAATCATTAGAAAAAATGTAACCCCAACATAAACTTTACATTATGTGATTCATTTTCAAAATTGAGTTACCCCTTGCTAATTTTTAATGTGTTGACATTTTTTTCATTGTAGCCTTATTTTATCTTAGAACTGTTTCTATATTAGTTGATACATCATTCAATCTAATATTAAATAGATTTTGGTTTTAAGAGGAATTTGAATTACACTGTGATTGCTATTCAATAAAATATATAATTTCCCTGCTGTGATCTTTAATGAGCATGCCTGTCTGATTAAAACATTTTTTAGTTCCACATTTACTATATTTTGCCAACTTTGTTTTCATTCTTCACTAATACTGAGCTTTTTTTCAGAAACTGCTGTGCCTCAATTCTCTCTTTTTTGTTTCTCCTCTTTTCCTCTGCAAGTTCCTGCACCTGTCATTTCCACTCGGTCTGATGCTGATCACTCTGGCTCTGACCCTACTTCTACTCCTGCTTTCCATTCCTGTTTCTTAGTAAATGAAGGTATTCTCTCTCAACTTCCTACCAACTTTCTTTCAATCTGTGCTTTATTCTAATTTGACACGTTCTCTTTTTTTTTTTAATCTTATTTGTACACTTACCTGCTTTGGTATGTATGAGATGGTAAAGTTTCCATGTTCTAACTTTATTTGCTAATATCAGTGATAAGGGCCAGTTATAAAAGTATAATGATATGGCAGGCTGGGATAAACCATGTTTCCTGTATCTAGAATGCTGTTAAAGAGTGGCCAAGATGCTAATCTAATCTTTGATGTGAAGTGCACTGGTTTTCATGATAGTGCTTGTCATGGGAACCCTGGTGTTAGAGCTGCCAGTTTATTTTTACCTGTAGCTTCACCTATCTATTTTTACACACCATGTGTCCTGGTTAGAGGGGGATGTCACAGGTCCCTTAATTTACATCCTCATTTGAAAAGTCTTCACAATGACGATTAACAGCAGTGATTATAAACTGATGGGAAGTCACCTGCTTTATCTCACTATTTCTCTTTCTGGCCGAGTAAAAAAACGGGTCCTTTTAGTTTTGAAGACGTAGTTAGGCTATCATATTATCCCTGTGGAGCTACACTATTGGGAAGTCTTTTTGGATTTCTGAAAATGTGAATGGAACCCTCTAATCTTTATACCCCACTGGGATTATTTATACTGCCTGGAAGCTTAATGGAACTTGTGAGCTCTTGGCTATATTCACCCTCTTTATTGTGGGCTCAATCTTCACAAGTGTGTATAATATAAAAAGGGAGAAACTTACAAAATCTCAAATGTAACCCAGAATGATTCTGATTCTTCACTAAAAAGCAATATTTCCAGCCCATTCAAATAGAAAGAGAAGTACAATATCTGTAAAGTACAGAGCCTATGTTTTAAGTACCACTCTTTTGAAAAGAAAACATGGGCACTTAAAAATATAATGAATTTTTCTCTTTGGTTTCCCTTGTATAAACCTATACTAAGGTTAGTATGCCAAGACTAGATTTTAACAAAAATAATTAGAGTCATCTTTGTTAAGCTATTGTGAAAGATTACAATATTTTAATTCAAAAACAAGCTGTGACTTTGGAGAATGGTGAGAATCATCACATTAAAATTTGGCTCATAAATATATTCCATACTTTTATGAGACATTAAAACACTTTAAGAAATTACTAGGTTGTAATATATATATATATATATATATATATATATATATATATATATATATATATATATGCACGATTCACTCTCTTCAATGTGGGTTCAATCTTCACCAGTTTGGTGAAGATATAAATATCTGATTCACTTTCTAAAATAAGGAATCAATAAGAACTTTAATATATATCCCTCTATTGAAAATAATTTATAATCTAAAAAGTACATACTCATCACTTTAATTAATGTAACTGTATATTCTCAGTTGAAGAGAATTTCCTTACTGATAGGATGGATCTTTAGATAGATGGCTTGTCCCTCACTCACACATTCTCTTTTAACAATCCCAATAATCATTCTGAGGTAGGGTTTTTGTTATTAGTTAGTTTAGATGATTTTAAAATGTTGATTTGCTGAAATTCTATGATCATGGATAACTCACCTTGTAATAATAGTAGTAAACAGTGTTTTTGCACTTATTCTTGATTATTTGTCTTTATTACCCTAGGACAGTAGTCGGCAAATTCATTAGTCAACAGAGCCAAATATTAACAGTACAACGATTGAAATTTCTTTTGAGAGTCAAATTTTTTAAACTTAAACTATATAGGTAGGTGCATTGTTATTAACTTAATTGGGGTACTCCTAAGCTGGCCTTTGCTAAAAACATCCTCAATCTTTGCGAGCCGCGGTTTGCCGACCACTGCCCTAGGAGGTAATGATAGTTATTATGCATTTGTAGTAGCTTTCTCTATAATTTGGAAAGAATGAGGCATTTATTGTATATATATTTCTCAGTTGTCTTTAAAATAGGATTGATATGATTATTTGAGAATGTCTGGATACTGGTACTTTAAAAACACTGTGGTGGTTTATGGTGTTTGTTTTCTTCATATAATCAGGTTCTATATTGTGGATTAGAATTTTGGAAAAAATAACGTTTTTTCCAAATAATGATGTTTATTTGTTGTTGATGCTTAAGATAATGTAAATTTTAGATAAGTTTATTATATTGTGGAATGTCTGAATTCACTTACCTCTCAAAATTAGTGTATGTTATGTATTTCAGCTCTGATTGTGATTAAATATCTGATTCACTTTCTAAGAAAAGGGATCAATAAGGACTTTAATTAAAGGCCCAGTGATAGAGAAGGGGACATCTCTGTTGACTGACACGAAGGCAATAGAGAGAGGGCTTGGCCTCATGATGGACATGACCTGTTTAATGATATCTGTGTGAATGCCCTCGTAACTGAAAGTGGTTTCAAGTCTGTGGCTCTGGAACCCATTTATTTTTGTGCTTTCCCATCCTTGAATATGCGCTTGACTTTAGAGGGACGATTTAGAAATGTGTTTTTCAAGTGGAATTTGCACATATTTCACACGGAAATTTATTTTTGTTTTAAGACTTTGAGAGTTCTTACGAGTACCAGTTACATAAGTTAGCAGTGAAATACATTTGGTAGTACAATACTGTACGTACACAAAAAATCTAGTAATAAATTGAAATAATTTATAACAGTTCAGCAGATCTTGCCCTTTTTTGTGTTTCTGGTATACGTACATAAAGAAAAACCTTTGAATTAGGGAAGGCCAGAATGTTTAAAGTATTTTTAATATGTTACATTTTAATAGGCTGGAGTCAGCTGGCTGCAATGCATTGTGTGATGCTGCCAGACCTGCTGGGACTGGACAAGTTTCGGCCTCCACTTCTGGAGATGCTCGCTCGGAGATGGCAGGATCGATGCTTGGAGGTAATGTCGAGGTGACACGGACTGAAAACAAAATCACCAATAGGCATTGGACAAGTGTAAATTTTAAACAAGAATGTTTAATGGTTGTCTAATTTCTTATCACTTATTTATTATGTGGTAGGAAAATAGATTCATGATTTTTTTTTCCACTTTATGTACTTGCATATTTTTTGCTTGCATATTTGCTTTTTTTTTTTTTTTTTTTTAACTAGTAAGTATTTGATAAAAAGTTTCATGTACTTTATGGAACTGGTTCCTAAGTATTGATTTTTTACATTGAGGAAAGGAGAGGGATAGAGAGCTAGAAACATCAGTGAGAGAGAGAGAAACATTGACCAGTTGCCTCCTGCACACACCCTACTGGGAATGTACCCACAACCAATGTACATGGTCTTGACCAGAATTGAAACTGGGACTTTTCAGTCCGCAGACCTTTCTGTCCACTGAGCCAAACCGATTTCGGCCTAAGTATTGCTTTTTATACAGATTGTGCACATGTGTTCACACACACATGCAATACACCCACCTCCCCCAAAACCAAACCATCATCAGGTATAATCTCATTAGTCAAATTCTAAGAGAATAGCCTTTGTCCAATAGAAGGGACTGTGTTATAATAAAAGGAGAGTGTCTTTGGATTAGAAGAGACCTGGATTTATTTATTTATTTATTTATTTATTAATTTTTAAATATATACTTTTATTGATTTTTTACAGAGAGGAAGGGAGAGGGAGAGAGAGTTAGAAACAACAATGAGAGAGAAATTTCAATCAGCTGCCTCTTGCACACCCCCTACTGGGGATGTGCCGGCAACCAAGGCACATACCCTTGACCGGAATCGAACCTGGGACCTTTCAAGCCGCAGGCCAAGGCTCTATCCGCTGAGCCATACCGGTTTTGGCGAGACCTGGATTTAAATATTAGTTCTGCCAATTATTAACTTTGTGACCCTGGGCAATTTACTTAACCTATTTGAAGCTCATTTGTAAAGTGGGGATAATAATATATTACTCATGGGATTGCTGTCAGGGTCAAATAAGGTAATGCAAGTAAAATAGTTAGTGCAGCATCTGACACGCTGTAGGAGCTCAATAAATGATAGCTATTATTTTGTGCTAATGGACTATGCTGTATTAGATATTGCTTGGCATACAATATCACTAGGGACTTAGAAACATTTTAAAGAGATTTTCCTTATTATGGTATTTGACCTACATAGCTGTAGCAGTTTGTATCATTCAAAATTTTTAACTTACCAAGTAGAATTAACACATTTGCTCCTTTTCTTGTCTCCCTCTATTCCAAGTGGAACTGCAGCATACTAAAATTTTCATGGTTTTGTCTCAAATAATATTTAATTCACTTCAAAGTCAATTATAATTAAAAACATTTTCTATTCAAACTCTTATCAGATATTACTGTTATCTTTTCCATTATAAATGTTAATTGATTAGTACATCACTGGACAATTGACTAGCTTCTTTAACTCCATGCCTGTGACATTTTGCCAAAATAAAAAATAAACTAAAATTGCAAAATAAAAGTTGTTGGAAGAAAAGGAAGAAGAATGAAAATAATACAATTTTGAAAACTAGTGTTATTCTATAGGACTCATTACATGGGAATATATCTGTTGAAAACACGTTCTTTGAGCATGTCTTTTGTATATATGAATGTGTGGATTGATACATGCATGGTGTGTAAACGATACCTGTTTATATATACATATATGTACTAATATGTTATAAAAATTCACTAGCTAACGTTAAATTTCTTTATGCTGAAAGAGAAGGCAAATTTAATAGTTCTAACTACTTTTGACAATTATTTATATAGAAATTTTGAGATTGAATGTGCAAAATTAACATGCAAGACTGTTTTAAAAAGCTTTTGGAAAAAAGAAAATTTAAACCCAGAGCTGATTAAATGTACAAACATAATTAAGTCTATTAGTGCTAAAATATTTTTCAGTGAGAACAGTAATTAAAATGTCTTTGATTTGCAGGCATCCAATTTATTCCACTTAAAAGTCTTTAATTTCTTGGTTGGTTAGTAGTTTTTGTCATGTGGATAAATGTGGTTTATATAGGCTTCTTCTGATTTCCTAGTTTTAAACGTCTCCCTGCTGACCTGCTTTTCTCACCTCGGGCTCTGTGGTCTCAGGTCAGAGAGGCCGCGCAGGCCCTGCTCCTCGCGGAGCTGCGGAGGATTGAGCAGGCGGGCCGGAAGGAAGCCATCGATGCCTGGGCTCCGTACTTACCTCAGTACATGGACCACGTCATGTCACGTAAGAGTTCTTATGCGTTTCCACAAAGCTTTCCGTGCTCATTAGAAAAATACCAAAACAAAAGTGAGTCATTTGCCTTCCAGTGAAAACAAGGGCCTCAAATTCTACTCATTCATTTTCTGAAATCCCTATGGATTGGAGTTTGGTTAGGAAACAAACAAACGAAAAGTCATATATCAAGATATTCACTAATGGATTGAGTCCCTCCAAAATTCTACCCTACTTAACACTAGTCTCTGTGTCTGCCCATTGCATTATGTTTATTTATTTTTTTTTTTTTATTTTATTTTTTTTTTTATTTTACATATTTTATTGATTTTTTTTTTGCCCCCCTCCTTCCCTCCCATGTATCCCCTCCCTCCCCAGAGTTTTATGTCCATTGGTTGTACTTATATGCAGGTATACAAGTCCTTGGGTTGATTTATTGTCTCCCCCAGACCCTCCTCCCCTCCCCGTTGTAATTTGACAATCTGCTTGTTGCTTTACTGTCTCTATATCTATCTTTTGGTTCATCAGTTTATAATGATCTTTATTATCCACAAATGAGTGGGGTCATGTGGTGTTTCTCTTTCATTGATTGGCTTATTTCACTCAGCATGATGTTCTCCAATTCCATCCAGGTTGCTGCAAATGATGAGAATTCCTTCTTTTTTATGGCAGCATAGTATTCCATTGTGTAGATGTACCAAAGTTTTTGGATCCAATCATCAGCTGACGGGCACCTCGGCTGTTTCCAGATTCTGGCTATTGTAGATTGTGCTGCTATGAACATAGGGGTGCATATATCCTTTCTGATTGGTGTTTCTAGTTTCTTGGGATATATTCCAAGAAGTGGGATTACTGGGTCAAATGGGAGTTCCATTCTCAGTTTTTTGAGGAAACTCCACACTGTTCTCCACAGTGGTTGCACCAGTCTGCATTCCCACCAGCAGTGCACGAGGGTTCCTTTTTCTCCGCAACCTCGCCAACACTTGTCGTTTGTTGATTTGTTGATGTTGGCCATTCTGACAGGTGTGAGATGGTACCGCATTGTTGTTTTGATTTGCATCTCTCGGATAATTAGTGACTTTGAGCATGTTTTCATGTGCCTTTTGGCCTTCTTTCTGTCTTCTTTTGTAAATATTCTATTTAGGTCCATTGCCCATTTTTTAATTGGATCATTCATCTTCCTTTTATTTAGTTGTATCAGCTGTCTGTAGATGTTGGAGATTAAACCTTTATCCGTGGTATTATTTGCAAATATATTCTCCCATACCGTGGGCTTTCTTGTTGTTTTGTTGATGGTTTCTTTTGCTGTAAAAAAACTTTTTATTTTGATGTAGTCCCATTTGTTTATTTTCTCTTTAGCTTCCATTGCCCTAGGGGCAGTATCAGTGAAGAAGTTCTTTTGGCATACGTCTGAGATTTTGCTGCCTGCGGATGCTTCTAGTATTTTTATGGTTTCCCGTCTGATGTTTAAGTCCTGTATCCATTTTGAGTTTATTTTTGTGTATGGTGTAAGTTGGTGATCTAGTTTCATTCTTTTGCATGTGTCTACCCAATTTTCCCAACACCATTTATTGAAGAAACTGTCTTGACTCCATTGTATATTCGTGCCTCCTTTGTCAAATATTAATTGAGCATAGTGATTTGGGTTGATATCTGGGTTCTCGATTCTATTCCATTGATCTATATGTCTGTTCTTGTGCCAGTACCAGGCTGTTTTGAGAACAGTGGCTTTGTAATACAGTTTGAAGTCTGGTATTGAGATCCCTCCTACTTTACCCTTCTTTCTCAGGATTGCTGTGGCTATTCGGGGTCTTTTATTGTTCCAAATGAACTTTTGGAGAGTTCTTTCTAGGTCGATGAAATATGCCGTTGGTATTTTAATGGGGAGTGCATTGAACCTATAGATTGCTTTAGGAAGTATGGACATTTTGATGATGTTGATTCTACCGATCCATGAACATGGTATATTCTTCCATCTCTTTACATCTTCCTCTATCTCTTTTTTCAGTGTCATGTAGTTTTCTGCATATAGGTCCTTTACTTCCTTAGTTAAATTTATTCCTAGGTACCTTAATTTTTTTGGTGCGATGGTAAATGGAATTGCTTTTTTAATCTCTATTTCTATAGTTTCGCTGTTGGTGTATAGAAATGCCGTGGATTTCTTGGCATTAATTTTGTATCCTGCTACATTGCCAAATTCATTTATTAAGTCAATTAGTTTTTTAATGGAGTCTTTTGGGTTTTTTATGTACAGTATCATGTCATCTGCAAATAAGGATAACTTTACTTCTTCTTTTCCAATTTGGATGCCTTTTATTTCCTCCTCTTTTCTAATTGCAATGGCTAGTACTTCCAGTACTATGTCAAACAGGAGTGGCGAGAGTGGGCATCCCTGTCTTGTTCCTGTTCTTAGAGGGAATGGTTTTAGTTTTTGCCCATTGAGTATAATGTTGGCTGTGGGTTTATCATATATAGCTTTTATTATGTTGAGGTATGATCCTTGTACTCCCACCTTGTTAAGAGTTTTTATCAGGAAAGGGTGTTGGATTTTATCAAATGCTTTTTCTGCATCAATTGATATGACTATATGATTTTTATCTTTCAGTTTGTTTATGTGATGTATCACGTTTATTGATTTGCGGATATTGTACCATCCTTGCATTCCTGGAATAAATCCTACTTGGTCATGGTGTATGATCTTTGTGATGTTCATCTGGAGTCTATTTGCTAGAATTTTGTTGAGGATTTTGGCATCTATGTTCATGAGGGATATTGGCCTGTAATTCTCTTTCATTGAGTTGTCTTTATCTGGTTTTGGTATTAGGGTGATGCTGGCTTCATAGAAGGAGTTTGGAAGTGTTCCTTCCTCTTGGATTTTTTGGAATAGTCTGAGGAGGAAAGGTTTTAGTTCTTCCTTGAATGTTTGGTAAAACTCTCCTGTGAAGCCATCAGGCCCTGGGCTTTTGTTTGCTGGAAGCTTTTTGATGATTGTTTCAATTTCTTCCCACGTCACTGGTCTATTAAGATTTTTAGATTCTTCCTGATTGAGTTTTGGAAGGTTGTATTTTTCTAGGAATATGTCCATTTCGTCCAGGTTGTTCAGTTTGTTGGAATAGAGTTGTTCGTAGTATTTTGTAACAATCTGTTGTATTTCGGTGGGGTCTGTTGTTATTTCACCTCTTTCATTTCTGATTTTGTTTATTTGGGTCCTCTCTCTTTGTTTCTTGGTTAGCCTGGCTAGAGGTTCATCTATCTTGTTTATTCTTTCAAAAAACCAGCTCTTGGTTTTGTTGATCTTATGTATTGTTTTTTTGGTCTCTATGTCGTTTATCTGTGCTCTGATTTTTGTTATTTCCTTCCTTCTGCTTACACTGGGCTTTTCTTGTTGCTCCTTTTCTAATTCTTTGAGTTGTAGAGTTAGATCATCTGTTACCCTTTTTTCTAGTTTTTTGCAATAGGCTTGTAAGGATATGAACTTCCCTCTCAAAACTGCTTTTGCTGTGTCCCATAGATTTTGGATTGTTGTGTTTTCATTGTCATTTGTTGCCAGGATGTTTTTAATTTCTTCCTTGATTTCTCTGGTAACCCAGTCCTTGTTTAATAGCATGCTGTTTAATCTCCATGTGTTTGATTTCTTTGGATTATTTTTATTGTAGTTAATTTCCAGTTTTATGCCATTATGGTCTGAGAAGATACTTGATACGATTTCTATCTTCTTAAATTTGAAGAGACTTTGCCTATGTCCCAAAATGTGGTCTATCTTTGAGAATGTCCCATGTGCACTTGAGAAGAATGTATATTCTGCGGCTTTGGGGTGGAGTGTTCTGAAGATGTCAATTAATTCCATCTGGTCTAGTGAGTCATTTAGGATTGATATTTCTTTGCTGATTTCTTGTTTAGATGATTTGTCAAAGGGTGACAGAGGGGTATTAAAATCTCCTACTATGATTGTATTGCTATGAATCTCTCCCTTAATGTCCTCCAGCAGTTTTTTTATGTATTTGGTTGCTCCTGTATTGGGTGCATATATATTTACCAGGGTAATTTCTTCTTGTTGGATTGTTCCCTTTAGAATTATGAAGTGGCCTTCATTATCTCTTATTATGTCCTTCAATCTGAGATCTAATTTGTCAGATATAAGTATTGCTACCCCAGCTTTTTTTTCATTTCCATTTGCCTGGAAAACTTTTTTCCATCCCTTCACCCTCAGTCTGTGTGCATCTTTTTTTCTGAGGTGGGTTTCTTGTAGACAACAGATGTATGGGTCTTGTTTTCTTATCCAATCTGTTACCCTATGTCTTTTTATTGGAGCATTTAAACCATTTACATTTAAAGTTATTAATGATAGGTACTCATTTGATGCCATTTTTAATCTATACCCCTGTGTTCCTTCTTCACTTAATATTTCTTTATTTTTACAGTAGACCCCTTAGCATTTCTTGCATTGCTGGTTTGGTGGAGATAAATTCCTTCAGTCTTTTTTTGTCTGTGAAGCTCCTGATTTCCCCTTCAATTTTGATTGATAGCCTTGCTGGGTACAGTATTCTTGGATTCAGACCCTTTCTTTGCATGACTTTGTATATTTCATCCCATTCCCTTCTGGCCTGATAAGTTTCCGTTGAGAAATCAGTTGCTAGTCTGATGGGGGTTCCTTTGTATGTAACTTTCTGTCTCTCTCTGGCTGCTTTTAAGATTCTTACTTTGTCGTTGTTGTTTGCCAATTTAATTATAATATGCCTTGGAGTCTGTTTTCTGGGATTCATTTTGCTTGGGACTCTGCGAGCATCTTGGATTTGTGTGGGTTTTTTCTTCTCTATTTCAGGAAAGTTTTCTGTCATTATTTCTTGAAATACTTTTTCCAACATTGCATTATGTTTAACAAGTGCCAACTTGTTCGATATTGATCTTATGATATGCAGGTACAAACAGGCAGATGCTTTCTAAATTGAAGTTAGGATTACGAATCCTTCAAAAATAAAGATCTGGCAGTGAGACTAGTGTACTATTGAAAA